GTGGATGCCGCTTTAAAAGACTTATTTTGGAACCAGCATAAAGTGAATCTTATAACCGAATGAATCCTATAGGAAAAGTGGAAAAAAAAAACAAAAATTTGAATACTAACTTTATTTTAATTGTTTGTTTTTTACTACTATTAGATACTACAAGATACGTATTATAAAATAAATATAATATTAATAATTAAAAACATTTATGATTTTAGTTTGTTTATTATTTTTAGCTATTTCAGAAATATACTGCTCGAACTCATATTTCGTATTAAAATTAAAAGCTCAGTGATGAACAGCTCTCCTCAACATATTTATAACCTCAAGAATGTCTTTGTTTGATGGTGACGTCAACATCCTCGACACTTTCCTCATTCTCAAATGCGATATAATTTGTCGTATATACATATGGCTTATAGCATGATTAAAAAGAAATAAGTCTTATAACCAAAGTAGTGAATCTTATAACCGAATTCTTTTTAATGTATTCGGATACGCCTATGCGATTTTGAGTCTAATAAGCGGCGTTTATTGTAAGAATAAAAATGTTAGTTTGATAGAATATTCTAAATTCTGAATAATAGTCAAAATTGGTAAAATCTAGTCATCATAAGAAAGAAAATTAAAAAATTAATAAAATTAAAAAATTGTTATCATAAAAAAAAAAAATGATGGATAACAAATTAAAATATCCCGATAACTTAGAAAATAAGAGATTAGAAAAAATTACCTTCAATGAATATAATTTTTAAATAATTTCGTTTTTAGATAATTACTGTATGAGATTTTCGGTACAAACGTAAAACAAACATTTTTATCATAGTAAAAACATGTTATATCAATAAATTTCTAGTTATTCTCCAGCTTTAAATAAAAAAAAAAAAATGTATTACATCATTGTTATTTAGTATTAAAGAGCAGAGAGTAACAAGTATTGGGTATTTAAATTATTATTTGAGGTATAAATTAAGACTTCAGTTACGAGTATATAGCTTAAATAAAGTTTTTCAAATTGCTAATTAATTATGATATAATAATGAGTAATGACGCATATTATAATGCTTGAAATCAAAAAAATAAATTAATTTATTAGCTCAATATTTTAAAGAAATGGACTAGTTAGGTATTGATAAATAGTTACTTTCAGTACTAAGTTGAGAAAAAAATGACGAAACAGTTTCAGCTTCTTGTATTGGAACAAGTTGAGATCATTCACTACCTAAAAGTTTAAGGTAAATTCAGAAAGCAGAGCTAATAATTATTCTAACACTCATTTCCATCCATATATAGAATAATTTTTGATTTAAAATAGAAAAAAAAACTATATAAATGGTTAATCATTTTAATATTATTTTCAATCAAATACTTTTACTATCTACATTGTTACAAATTAAATATTATTAATTGGGTGTATACATTAAAATGTAATTACTTGAATATTTTACATGTATTTAATAAGGTTGATAATCATAAATCAATAATACACTTAAATGGGTTCCTACTATCATAGTTTGTACCTATTTATGTTAGCAAAATCTAACCATACAAATTATGATCAATGTGAAAAATATTTATGTACAATATTTTTAATACTTTGGAAAATCTTACACAGCTACTACAAATTGCAATGTAATACCATTATTTTATGAATATGTAAAGAAAACTAACTATTTCATCCTGAAGAGTTAAAAAGTTGAGATACACAGAAATAATAAAATATAGTAGACAAAAACTAAGCTAAAACTATATAATATAAAATAATATATGTATATAAGAAATGCCAAAAGAATATATTTTTTTTTAATTTGATATTAAGGTAAATAAAATAAAAATAAGATTTTATGATACCTTTGTAAAATTGATTACTGTAGATTTACAAACTAAATAATATTCAATATAATAAACCACAAGTGGTATGGTATCGGATATTATAAATTAATTTAAATTTATCGGTCTTTTAAAATAAGTAACCATAACATATTATTTTTCATTCATTATTTAATTCTATCTTTATAAAAATATTTTAATGTATTAAAATAGTATGTAAAGATTATTTCACATCAGAAACAATTAAATAAATCACAATAGTTATCATGTTAATTCTTTAATAAATACTATGGTTTTAGTGAAATAATTAAGAAGTAATAATTGAAAAATTGTTATCATCCATAAAAATAATATACAGAAATTTGACACTAATTATTATTCTTAATCGTTAATATTTATTTAATTAAATTAAAGAGGAATACTTAAATTAATTATATTAAATACTTTGAAACTTTTTATTTATCAAAAATAATAATCATAGATTTAAATTTAAGAAAAAATAATTGACAACAAGTTCAAAAATATTATTTATTAATAAGATATGTAATTGCTTTGAATTATATTCTTATATTTTAAACAAAAATAATGTTAAAATGATGGATTAAAATTATTTGTCATCATTACAATAAACATTTTTAGAAAAATTCTAATGAAGCAATAAATATAATTATACTTGAAAATAACTTAAAAAATACTATACTTATAAGCAAAATTACTAAATATTTGATAGTTTACATTATTACTTAATTTCTTATTATTAGGTAATAACTATATTGAATACATTGGATTATGAAGAGTAAACAACTAAAATTTACCAAGATGGCTATATGTTTTCATTATAACAATCAAACTGTTTCGTTTTTCAAATAGAATTTAATATGCAATCCTAAACTAGGAAAATATGAACCATAATTCAGAGTTAATTGTTCAAATAATAAATTAATTAAAGAAATTTTAAAAAAAATTGTTACAAACAGGTATTTATTATAGTAATAGTTTTCAATTTTATTTTTAAATAGATACAAAAATTTATAATTGTGTACTAAGCTAAACCATGTAGAGTATTTGTTTTTAATTATAGCTACATTGATTAAATTATTCTTACCATAAGTTAATGCTAAATTAGTTACCTTATTATTATTATAATCACTACTTATTTTAAATTTGATTTTAATGTTCTTTAATTGTATAAGTATATTTGTAACTTCCATTACTAACTTGACCTTTATGTTTATTATCATGACCAAAAATTAATATTTATTTTCTTAATAAAAACATTTTATGCTAAATAAATAAACTATCTATGTAAGTGAATTAAAAAAACCTTAAGACAAATGATTTACTCTTGATAGATATTAATTTTAGACAACAAAAATACTACAAAAATAAGGTAAATAAAAATAATAGTAATTCATCTTTATTTAGATCATGGTTTATGGTATATGTTATAATAAGTATATGTTTATTTTTAAACCAAAAATAAAACAAATAATTATTAAAATTAGCCAACATAATATACAAAATGTATGTTTTTACTAATAATTAGCTAACATACCAACCTATAATAATATACATTATATATTTTAAAATATTAAAAAAGTATATAATTCCATGCTTATTTAGAATAAAAATGATTTAATAATAAAAAATTAACATCCATCTTTGTAGCTATGAGTAGTATGTACTATGAAAAAAATAAAAATTAATATAACATAATATATACTGATGTATCTATAGCAAATTATTAAAAAGAAATAATTGGTTAAAAAATTAAAAAAGTTAATCCATATCGTAGATGTTAAAACTGAACCAAATAGAGCCCCAGAAAAACAACATAATATTTAAATAGTTGACTTTGATATAAAAATCAAACTATAAATAACTCTTGCAATAAAGCTAATAATTGATTCTATAATGGCTATTATACTTTTTTTTATGATGATATTAATACTTATAAAGGTATACCATATATTTGTATAGAAGTTTTAAATAATAAGAATAGATTTTCATGAGAAGTATGAGTAATATAACAAAAGTTCATAACATCCCTTAGAACTCAGATGGTTTAGTTTAAATTTCACTACTATAAAAAATTGAATTTGGATATTGATGTCAATAAAACCCTTGACAAAAACCATTGGATTAGTCCACCACTAAAAAATATTGAATAATTAATGCAAACTAGTGAAAATTTTAATATTCTAGTTATTAATTGATCAATTTAAAATTATCTAGTCTCATAACTATGGCTTAGAAGTAATTATCCTAATAATCTAAATAGAAACTAAGTAACAAATTAGGTAACCTAACTTAACTGTAATATGCTCTAAAAATGTTTTATTTTGTTAAGATAACTTTATAAGTATATTTATATATCTTTAATTAATGCCAAAAAATTGCATTAAAATAACTAAATATTCGTATAAATTTATCTTTTATGTAATGAATAAGTAAAAAAATAACTAAGTGTTTAATTTTTATTTTACACTTATACTTATTGGAATATTTTAGTATTATTGTGTAATACTGTGAAAAATATTTAATGTTATTATACTAAAAAAAATTAACAAAGTCAATCATACTATTTATATACATTACACTATTATATTAACCTAACTATCCCAACATACCAAACTACTATATATTTTTTTATATGTCAGATTGAACTACATTTTACCTAAATTGTTAAAAATAAATGCAACAAGTAAATATTTTCAATATAGATACTTATAAAATATTAATAATACATTAATATTACTACCAAATAGGATGCATAAGTAGGTATAATTTCATTTGTAAAATATTTATTTAAATAACCTTGCAAATAACCATATATAGTTATTACTTTAAAAAAAACTTAATCAAAATAACAAAGTAATCAAGAACACACAATTCTGGTTTATATTTTAAATTTTGAATCATAATATAGATGCTATTCAATACTTTATATATATATATATATATATATATAACTATGTAGCATATATTTAACATTAATAATACATTATTGAAAAATCGTAAATTATGATAAACATCAAAAAATTTCATTTTCAACTATGTAAAGCAAAAAACTTGCTAAAGATAATTGTTATTTAGGTTATTTAAGCAAAAATGATAACTGCCATAGAGATATATGTAGTAATAAGTCGAGAAGTATTAATTCAAAATATAAATATTACCTCTGATCGGAAAAGGTTTGGTTGGTACAGTGTCCGTAGTTGGAGGTAAATGTTGATAAACTTGATTGTTTTCATCTTTGGGTGGCCAATAATGTTCACTGCACAGCTTGATGCATTCACTGTTACTGTAATCGGGCACAATGGTTTTCACTACTGAATTGCACACAGCCATTAGTTCATTGAGCGTTGGGTAACGTAGGTGGAAGTATACGTATTTCGTATATTATTAAATACAAAAAATTCAAACAACAACAAAAAAAAAATTCAAAAATAAAACAGTTGAAAACATCCACTTCCCAAACGAGGGTGAGACTGTATAACCGGATAGTGTGTAAAAAACTAATAACAACTATAAAATAAAATAAAACAAGTCACAGAGCAGGATTTCGGACAGGAACAGTAAAAATGACTGTTGCACACGAATCACGCGCAGCTAAGAGTGAGCCGACAAGTGAGTAGTGACAGTGAATGACTAGTGATACGAACAGACAGGACAGGGTTTATAAGAAGATTCGGAGCATTCGCGCCGCACGAGACGGATGTTTCGTGCAAATTTCGTATGAATGAAAACTATTGATTGATAAGGATTTGATAACGTGTGCGGTATGATATACGCAACGTCAACGGTTTTTTCTATAGATTTTTGTGCATGAAAATTGTTCGCGATTTATTTTTATTTTTCACGTTTCACAGTCCCAGTGATGATTTTCTGTCAAATTTTCCATTTGCCATGCTTGCGAATTCTCGGTAATACGAAAACCGACCGTCTAAATAAGTGTACGCAATGGTCGTTTTCTCTTCCATGCATTGGCCTTGATTCCATCTCTCCGACACCGATCGTTCACTGTTGCACAACCCGTTAATTTACGCGCAGATATGTTATTTTATTACAGATGTCACGGATGACGTAACCTGCGGTATTATCGTATTTGGACCCGTAATTCGATCCTTAATCCTTATAACTTAAGCTTGTTTCTAAAGTCTGAAGTGTTTACCATAATTCGGACCTCTAACCGTGCCTACAGATGAATACGACTGGAACGATATAATATAAAATGTCTAAGTGCAAAAATAATGTTGAACTAACACACCATAAACTAGACTATGCTAAATCGAAAATATTACTAAATACTGTTCGTATTGATTATTATTATTATTATTATTAATCTTATAAGATCATGCATCGGGATGCGCACGGGAGGTGCCGGGTTTGAGCCATTCCTGAAACGTTTTAAATAGGGCTTAACGATTTTAATCTAAGAGTAAGGGGCCCGTATTTAAACTGCTGTTGTTCGAATTAGATGTAATATACTCTAAAATATCTGGTAAAAAATAAATTATATTTCATAATGATAAAACTAAAACTAAATGTTCTAAATTTTCGTGCGAAAACTTCTTTTGATGACCCAACAACTAAAATTGATTACGAAAGTCCAAATTATAAATAATTGAAGCTATCTGAGAAGAATACACAACAGTTAAAGAAAACATATCGATTGGGACTGATGTATTACAAAATAGCAAGTAAAAAATTAAAATTACGTTTGTTTAATCATTTATTAAATATATCTATGCGTTTTGTTACGATAGGGCCCGAAAATATTGCAGATACCTTGTGAAATGCGAGTCTGTTTTTATGAAACGCACACAAATCCAGAAATTATATCGGCCACCCATAAACTTGAATGTATATTGAGTTATCTACCATTACCCTATGATTAGACAACATGTTTTCACATTTAAATTTGAAAATAAAATATGAAAAATAAATAATTATGGAGCAGTTTTAAAGTTTATTGATGGGCGGATCTGATTATTGTATTATTATTGTAATTTTACGAAATGGACGTATGAAGCCATTTATTTTTAATCATATTTTAATAATGTTTTCTTTTGGACTTAAGATATTATTTCTTTCGAATTTGTTATCAGTTTATTAATTTATTTCATGTAAACTATAATTGGGTCAGATTTTAAGTTTTGAATATTATTATTATTTATAAAATATAAAGTTTTTTCATGAATTTCATTAGCGTGAGTGATAACAATAAAATTCATGAAAACCGTACCTACTACATCTATTTTATAGCATCATTAATGATAAAAAAAAAAAAAATACAGAAAAGAATCTGAGATATACATGAAAACAAAAATCGCATGAATCTTTATAGGTAATTTTTGTGATTAAGAATGTATAAAATTTTCAAATCAAGGCTTATTTTTTCTAAATATTTATAAAAGTATCAAATTAAACAATATTAGTTCCTTTTATTGACTAAAAACTGTAACCGTATATGAACTTTATATTGTTTTACGATACAAATTTCTTTGGTATCAAACAAATAGGGATAACATTGGCAAATTTAATAGCCATTAAAAATAACATCCTCATAAACGTGTGTATAACTTGCCTGTGTATGTAACAGTGGCGTATAAATGGAAGGGGTGCCTAGTGGGCTACAGCCTCCCCGAAATGTTTTAAAAAACTTAAAAATGATTTTAAACGTTTATTATATTTTAATGATGCTTTATGCTTACTTAGAATTTGCGTCCAACGTCAAATCATTTTGGAAAATCCTGTAAATGAAATGTAGACAAGTACCTACAGTGTCTTGTTAGTAATTCTTAGATAGCAGTGATAATTTAACTCTGTTCACAGTAGTCCTTCCCAAAAATATTTTCTGCATACGCCACTGATATGTAAATATCAATATTTTTTAATTTTTTTATTTATTTAAAGCAAAATAACATTTAGGTATAATATGTAAATTTTTGTAGCAAATTTTAAGCAACAATTTCAAAACGATATAACAATACAACAAGTATAACAATCATGAACAAACAAGAAAGAAAGCGATCTAGTGATTATAAAATTATAAATTTGTTCACATATAAAAACCACTGTTTTTACATTTTTCGTATAATATTATAAAGTAATTAAAAGTATTAGGTTGCTGCTTGTTGGTAACATATTAATAATATAACGAAATAAGTATAGTAACAAATAAAAGAATAAAAAGGTCATCAAATCGACATAAGGATAATACGACAACCTAGTTGATAATTTTGAAAGACTGGAGGAAATCAATTAACTGTCACGTGAAAAAGTTTTTTATTAGTTTATTTAAAAAAAAATGATTAGATGATATGCAACAGATGGGTTTGTATCCAATACAACATATTTATCAATTATTTACTTTTTCTACCAGCATAAGGATTTATTTTTAATAATTATACGGAACGAACGGTAAACTACTACCATCATACTATTACTATCAATTGACTATTTCGAGAGAAAAATTTGTTCGTCGACCAGTGAATCAGTTACGTAGCCAAAGGAGGACTAGGGTGTACCTGGTCAACCCTAAGTATTCAGAGGGCCTATTATTATAAGATCCATGAAAAATAACAAAATATTTTAAAAATTAATTGATGATCTAAATGATTTATAAAATAATGAAATTAAACTAAAGTATCCTGATAAAGTTATAAAATAATATGTGAATTCCCATAATGAAATTGCGAGTGCTTGTATAAAAATAGTAGGTGCTAATCACTCCGAATCGAGTCTATGCTGGTATGAAAACATTTTTAATTTATAAAATTTATATAATTTGAAAACCTCTTTAAATTTAACTAAACTTTTAGCCCGCCGAATAGCTTCTCGAATAAAGCACATGCATTTTGGTGTCTTCAATAATTCGAAAATAATAAAGTGTGGAGTAGCTATAAATACTTTTCAATTCGAATATTCTTTCCCGGAAATGTCCATGATTCAATTTATTAATTTAATATAAACTCAAATAAATTATTAAAACGTGAGGCGATTTCATATGACAGTTATATTTAAAGTTCTACTGCATCGATTTACATGATTTATTTTTCTAACGCAAGTACTCAGTGTGCAGATAAGCCATCAAAAGAGAAAAATCCAAAAAATGAATTATTTAAATAGTTATTAGAAGTATTAAGTTTACCGTATTATTACATAGCGGCATTCGTTGACGATGCCGGATAACCCAACTCTTCTACGTTTCTGCAGTACTGTAGCTTTGTGATAGAAAAAATGAAGAAAATCTCGAGAAAATTAAAAAAATTAAGAATGCTTAACCACCATATAAAACTATTTCTAGTCTAACCATAGGACTTTAGACTATATAAACTTTTTTAATGTAGCCTTTTAACGTTTGACATAGAATTAACAGAATACGTGCTGTAAATATCGTCAAAGAGGATGTAAAAAAACTGAAAATCGTTTAAAACAGATGTTTTGGCTGTAGTATTTATTATTATTATTTATTAGTAATACATCTAATTAATATATCTATGTAGGATAACTGAATTTCTTAGTGCACATCACGGTTAGTTCAGAACCATTGTATCTAATAGTTCAAGTTTCGAGTTCAATTTAATATGGAGTTATGGTAAGTTTGGATAAACCAACATACACTTTGTTTAAACCATTTCAGTTAATTCACTACCACTATTTTTTTTTTTTTTATTTTTTTTCAAACTGTATCTACTTTATAACGTGTTATAAAATGATAACTTTGTGAAATATCGTTTAGTTATAGTACCTATAATACCTTGTATTTGTGGTCCAGATATGTGATTTTATTCACGCTGCGAGGTTTTAGGTTCATATACAAAACATAATCCCATTTACAATAGTATAAAGGTTTGTACAAAAATTAGGTTAGGCTTAGACTATAATTCCTTTTGGGGCGATCCCCTCCACTCGAAAAATTCCACACAGTGGCACTCGAGTTGATGAGTGGAGCCGGCAAGCGTAACGAAGTCCTACAATTTTTAAAATTTTAAAATTTAAAATGTCAATTTAAATGTACATTAAAATTGTTTTTTAATTGAATACATACTTATCGGATAAGGGATCAAAACCAGATACCTTCTGCCTTAGGTTAATAGTCATTAACCATTAGACTATGACTTTAATTTTATTTAGATTAGATAAGATAAGTTACAGTTTTTAGAGCAATAGAACATTTATCAAGTGGCAGTGAATTAACGGAAAAGTTCATTTTATTTTAAAGAAGAATACAATAGGTAGTTTTCGTTAATTAACAGTTAAATTTTCGTTTTTGAAAATGCCAGCAATTAGACGTACAAACTTAAGTCGCAGAACTCGCAATGCTGTGAGTCGAATGAATGCAAAAGTAAGTCAAATTGACGAGCAATGCAAAGCTCTATTGGACCAAAGAACGTTTTAAAATTACGTCATTTGGTGCAACAAAAGTTGATCAAGAAAATGTTATGCCAGCTTTCAAGATTCAGAGTCAAACATATAATCTAATAGATTCTTTATTGCACACGCTGAATAGTGACAGTAAATTTTTGCAAATTTATTTTATAGGCGATTTAGCAAGACAAGTCGATCAGCGTTGTGCACACAACAATTCAGTGAAAATACCAATTGTGGAACAACTCAAACTTTTTTCCATAAACATAACGAATTGGTTGCATTATTTACGACCACTTTGGACCATATGTCGTCTAATGATCACAAAATTGTCATTAAAGCTAATAAGATGCCTGCAGGACAACACGCGAGACG